TTGCCTCATTAAAGCATTGGTATTTTTATAATTTATTACTAAATTACTAAACATCATTCTGTTTTAGGTTCAGTGCATAATTAAACCAAAAGGTAGTTCTTGCTAATCTAATTTTACACGCATCCTTGCTTAGATTACAAGCTTTTTTGAGGGCATGGGCATAAGTAGAGCACCTTGCATGTAGAGGTCTCTGATAACAACTTAATTGTATTATAGGAGTGTCTACTGTTTTCTTGTGTTCTTTATCCAAGCAAACAAATGGCAGTTTGGTCATACTGCAGCTACTCTAAATGCCTGTGCTATAGCATTGGTTTTTGAATGCTCCTTTGTTAGAGTGGTAGTTTACAATACTTAGTGCGGGTGGAAAGAGGGTAGTTAGTTGCTTCAGACACTGGTAGCTTTGCAACTTGTAAGTATAATCTTCATGCCTGCTGATTAGCATGCATTAAGCATCCTTTCTCACTGAACTCTTAATAAAGCAGATTTACTGTATATTATGTGGCTGTGTTTTGGCACACTGGCAGCCTTAGATTCCAAAAAGCGAATGGATGGAGCCATTTCCAAAAGCCCAAGAAATGGTCCCTGGCAAAGGTAGAAAGAATTCTTTGGTTATAGGATTGATTTGTTAGATCAAGTGACATTGTTTATTTCCAATGAAAAAGTTACATAGCTGTGAAATTCAGCAAGATGGAAAGAAACTGCCTAGTTTAATAATTTGCATAGCTGAATTTGAAAGGTAGCCCAAATCTAAGCTAAAAATGGGGTAGGTATTCTGCATAAAGCTGTTATGCTCCGCCAGAGAGGCAGTTATCCCTGGAAGCTGCGGAATTACTGGGACGTGCGTTATGTAACATTGTTCTGTGTTATCCTGCCCTAACGAGGTGGCTGGGAGGCCATGCTGGCTTTGATTCTGAGTGCCCTTGCTCCACTGCTGGAGCGAAGCCTCGTAGTCATTTGCAAATGACTTCTGTGTGCATTAATTTTGAAGCTTCACAGACTTCGCAGTGGCTTGCAAATTTAGCAATTGATTATTTCAAATGAATGCCTTAAAATGTTAGAGCTCAGTATTTGCCAGTGAGCCTGCAGCAGCTGGGTTTCTCCACCCTTGGTGTTAGTGTTTGAGGAGAAGTGTGACAGGTCATAGAAAGCTCTAAGTTTTACTATCTACAGAGATTTGTTAAACCTGATACTAAATTATTTTTAGTTATTGAACATTCTGAAGATGACATGTTTTTTTCCTTAATATTTGCTTTGAGATAACTTAGGGATTACTTTTTTAAAGAAAACAATTACAAATGTGTCTTCAAGTTCATTTCCAATTAGATATGTTTGTGTACAGATATTCATGGTTAAAATTACATTGTTCTCTGGGTCCTCATTGGTCGCAGGACGATGAGCCGTAAGTCCCTAGAAACATGCCTTTCTAGTTGCATGTAGCACATTCTGACTCCCATTCACTCCTCTGGTTAAAACTTCATTCACTGAATGAAAGTTCCTTTATTTGCTGTGCATATTCAAGGGGAAAAAATTAAGTTTGAATATCAGTATGAGCTTAATTACTTTTTTAAAAAAATTGTGCTGTTTCAGATGTCTCTGCCACAGTTGCCCCAGCCTGGTTAATTATAGGTGGACATAGGATACATGTTTTGACATTGCCTTTAAAAAAAAAACCTGTAGTATGTTCTAACCCTCCCAATAACTGAATGTCTGTTGCTATCTTTGCTTTGGCTTTCAACGAAGTTGGTGAAAACAGCCCATTGATTTTCAAATATTAATATGAATCAAAGTTACTCAGAGGGCTTATTCATTAAAACACAGATTGCAGGGCCCTGCAAGAATTAGTTTCTGCTTCCACTGTAGGTCTGGAGCAGGCTTTCGACTGTGCATTTCTTTCCCATAAGTTCCCATGTGCTGCAGATGCTGCTCCGGATCCATGCTTCTAAACCAGGGAGCTCATCTTCCATTTGTCCCTGTTCGGTATTGTGTCCAATTAGTGTCTGAAGAAAAATACATAAAACCCCAACCTGAAATATGTAGTACTTTAGAAGTTTGATTTTAAAAAGGTTTGTTGGAAGCCTGAGACCCACTTTTCTGCCAGATAAAGTATCACTTTAATGGTCTAGTGCAAAAACAAACAAACAAACAAAACTAATTGAATATATTTGCAAAGAAAATAAGAAAAAAACTATTTGAATATATTTGCAAAGAAAAGAAGGAAAAAAATATTGCTATAGGAGTAGTTGAAACAGAAAAACAGTATACTCCTGGAGAGAAAAATAAAGGGGTGTGTGTGTGTGTGTGTGTGTGTGTGTGTATTTAAATCTTGAGCTGATGCTTTAGGAAAAGCAGGCAGAAGGGGAGAAGCCAGGTAGAGACCTAGGAGGTACCCTGGGTCCAGGGTGCCTGTGAAATTCCAGATATTTTTAGTTTTTCTGGCAGTGGTTCTAATATTTAATTTTACTTCCAGATGTGGAGATTTTCTTCTTGGTGAGACCACTTTTAATGTTTTAAATCTGAGGAAAGCAGAGAGGAGGGGAGGTTCTGTTAGGACACGGGGCCATTGGAGGTGGAAAGAGATCAGGAAGGAGGATGGTGAGGGTGCTGCTTGGGTGAAATGGTCTGAATTCTGAGTGTGGTGGAGGAGATGGGGAGAGGAAGCGGCGGGATGTGGGGGAGGGGATGAGAAAAAGAAAGGCACAGCTAAGCTTGGAGCTCTGCAGAGATGTTTTATTAACTTTGTCTTTGATCCCAAACAAGAATCTTCTTAATGCGGAAGAATGGGTGATTGATGCCCTTGTCATCAAATGGGTTCCTATAAATGCAAGTTCAGTGGTTCTAAACAGAGGGATGAAGCAAGATGAAAGGCTATGGAATCTGCCACAATTAGCTTTGGAACATTTACAGAATGTCTGCATATATTGCCATAAATTACCGCAGTGAAAGAATGTCACTTCTGCCTTTTCCTTGGATCCCCAACTTTGTCTCAAAATAGCTTTCAGCCTGACTCGTGCCTCATTTATGTGAATCACAGTAACTGTTCTTTTTTCAACAGATTCTATAAAGTTATCTTTTTAAAATATAGTAATAGTTCGTGTGTACTTTAATATAAATTTTAGTCTTGGTTAAAGACCAATGTAAACACAGTAAAGGATTTTGTAAGTCCTGCTTTAGACCAAGACCAGTTTATGTAAACATCCTACACTCAGCTGTAATACATGGATTGGCTGGGAGGTGGATGTTTACTTCAGCTGTCTTGGAATGTCAGCCATTAACACCGACCAAGGCAAGACTTGGCAAGAAGAGTACACAGGGATGTGGATTTTTAATGTAATTATTGTACATTTAAGCTACTGTCCTATCTTTCATTTGTGTGCTTCTATCTCTAACATGACACAAGACTTGGCATATTCAGACAAAAGATTGTCCTTATTTGGTGGTTGGGTCGTATTTGTAGGCATCTCTCTGTGCTTTAGCAAGTGACATCATACATCTGTAGCGTCTGGGCTCTGTCCCTGAATTTGCTAAGTGATTTGGAGAAGAAAAAGAAACTTGTTTTCACACCTCGGTGCTTTTCTCATTTGCTAAGAGGTGCAGCATCCACTTTGCCAGATTGTGGTGGGATTGACCTATATGATGGCGGTAAAGTGGCTCGTTAGTGCCATCACATTATGTGCTCAATAAAAGCCAGTTGTTATTAATGCTAACTACAGTGTTCAATAAATCACTGCTGGCACATTTCAAGCAGACAACTTGGTTTTATTTTAGCAATAAAGATGATGTCAACTTTCTGACATAATGGAAATGGTTTGCACTTTGCATACCACCACAATTTAGTGAGTGATAAGAGTTTTGAAGCCCAGCTTGAATCATTCTGGTTCTGCCATTGATTAGGTACTAGTACTTTGGGGAATATATTAACCTCCCCGTGTCTCAGTTTCTCCAATCTGCTAAAATGATATAACATTACCAACTTAATAGGATTGTTATGAAATTAAACAAGTTAATACCAGTAGTAGTCTAATATATAAAAACCCTGGGCCCGTCACAACCACAGTAACCTGAGACTGGACTTAAAGCCCAGGCTGCATGTGCAGCAGGCTCTAGTGGGTGGGGACTTGTGGCAGCGGAGACAGGGATGGGGGAAGTGGGGCCGGCACTCACACTCACAACTGCACACACATGCACAGACACCACAGCGCCCACCAGCTCACAGCCTTTTCTCCCTTTCACAGCCTCTCTCAGAATGAGGAAACAAAACAGAAGAGGCTTGGATGGAAGAGAGGGGGGGCAGAGGGTGGAGCAGCCCCCTACTGGCCCCGCCCCCTCCCAGCCAGGAAAGAGGAAGAGGGAAGCCTGGAGAACTGCTGAGAAAAACCTAGAGAGACAGAGACTAGACAGGATCAGGACGGCAGGGGAGGGGAGTTGGGAGAGAGATCAGGCCTTAGGGGAGGGAAGTTAGGGGCAATCAGGCAGGCAGGCAGAGGCAGTTAGGGGCAATCAGGCAAGCAGGCAGGTGAGCAGTTAGGAGCCAGCAGTCCCAGATTGCAAGAGGAATTGTTTGGGCCTAAACTGGTAGTCTGACATCCCCCAAGGGGTCCCTGATTAGAGAGGGTGCAGGCTGCTGGGCTGAGAGAACGTCTACACACACACACACACACACACACACACACACACACACTGCATGCATTTTGTGCACGGGCCCACTAGTGTTAGAATAATTTCTGGTACATACTAAGGTCTTGATAAGTGGTAGCTGCTATTATTATTTTAAAAACCTGTTTGTCATATGTTATTTTTTCCCAAGTTGTATCATACATTTCTAAATTTAAAGAGAATACATGATAATTAGTTCTATTTATGTATTGTTTTGGTTTAAATGGTATTTTCATATATTGTGCTTTTATTGAAAAGACTTAAAATTTTTTTCTCTAGCTTTATTTTTTAGTTTCATGAAATCAGCTTTACTTTTCTTTTTCTTTTCTTTTTTTTTTTTTTTTTAGTAATAAATCCACATTCTGAATAAGTAAGAAACAAAACCACCACCACAAAACCAAGGTTACTTAACAGGTACGCATCATTCTGGCAGCGGGGCAGGGGCTGTACCTTTGGCTAAGTCCAGAGTTAGGATCCACGTTTGATGCCTCTCTGGGGAAGACGCTTCCATGTTAGGAGACACTCAACTAAAGAGCAGTGTGAGCTGAAGGCATGGAGACCTGTTCTCGAAAGGTGAGTACTCGTTCTCATTACGTGGTACTTGTTCAGTGAGCTAGTTTTTCATTATTTTCTTTATTAAATGGGGGCTGTTCTGTTACGTTCTCAGATGTAAAACATATCTCAGTGAGTTTCACATAGTCACTTGAAACTTGTCAAGTGTTTAAAATATTTTCTAGTTAATAATATTTCAGAGAAAATATCATAGTGCATTAGGGAAGCATCATATAATCTAAAGGTAGTTTTATGAAATATATTTTTCAAATTAAGCATATTTGGGAATTCCTATCAATTTACCTTTGAACCTCAGTGGATTTTCTTTTCTATTCTCCAATATAAAAAAAAAAAAAATGTTTGTATGTTGTATTGTTTAGCCTGTCAAATAGCCTGAAAGTTAAATTCCTAATTCAAGTGTTTTTTAATTCATTACTCTTTTTTCTTTTGTTAAGTGGTCATGTATTTATATCTTTATAGTATATACTTTTCTGATTGTATTATGGGGTCTTTGATTATGTGGGTTATCAGCTTTGTCTCACTTTGTCACTTAGAAGAATATCCACATTAAATAAATGAAAATTGGAGTATTTATCTTATTTTAATTAATACAATTCTAAGTTATACTGAGCTAACCCCCACCTTTATAAGAACATATATATCTTGATTTCTTTAAAAACTATGTATCAGAAATGTAATAGAATTTTATTTTCTGATGAGCATGCTTATCAGTTTAAATGTTACAGATTTTAGATGTATGTTAAAATGTCCTCATTTCTGTCAATTGCTATTTGTTACTTAGTTGGTTGATAGAGAACAATATAAAGTTGGATTTCTTGGATAATACTTGGATATGTTCTAAAATGAAACTGTTTTCTATCCTTTGAAGATTTATCTCTTCCTTATCATTATTTTGTAAGCCTTTGGCAGAAATTATTTAACTTCTCCCGTTCATTATATCTTCCTCATTTCATTGATTCCCTATAGTCGAATTTTATGGTTCTAAACAAATGTCCCCTACAGACTTCAGTAATTAAAAATGTCAGTTAAATGGAAAATTTGTGATATACGAGAACTTACCTTTTAGTTCTATTTATTTTAGTTTTTTAAAAAGTGATTCTACTTTTTAATAAAGGTCAGGGGTTATTCAGTGCAAAATAGTATGCAAAAGTTACAATAAGTAACTATATGATCTCTTTTTGTTAATTTCTTAATATTAAGGTTTTTAAAAACTAGAAATATGCTAGTATCCAATTGTGGATGAAAATGAAAGATTTTTTGTGTTGTTTTTTGCTTTTTTAACTTTTAAATCTTCACAGAGTTATCATTTTGAAACCAATAGCAGTTTCACATTATAAACTAGGATTACTTTTTTATTAGCCTTAACTTCCTTTAATTTAATGGAAAGAACCAGTCCCAAAGGTGTGTTTATAACTTAATACACATTATTCCTGTGAGGCTGAGTAAAACATAAAAACCATTCCATGAATCCAGATCTTAGCACAAAACCTGTTCTGCTGTTAACTGTCTTGGGACTAACCAGGTGCAGTTAGAACTGTTTAAAGGTGCTGGCCTTTCCTGCCTTAATTCAGAGTGGTTCTTTAAAGACTCTTCAGCTGTTTGTCCTCGTGTTCAGTACTTGTCTTACTACATAAAAAAAATTTAAAAACAGGGTTTGGGCTGTTTGTTTTGGTTTTTAAAAACTAGTTTGAGAAAGTTTCTTTGCTACTTGTTCCCCATGCAAATTTATAAGAGCTCAAATTCCCCAGAAGAAAGGATTTTTGTAAGGTTAAAAGTATAAAAGGTCCCTAACGGTATACAGTTGCCTTAATTTTAACATTATACGTTTTTCTTATCCTATAGGTTATATGTGAAAATATTTGGGGCATCCTGTTTATATTTAATAATCGCTTGCGTGCTCTGTATAGTCAGTAGCACAAAAAGATTTTATGTTAACCGAATGCTGAGCTACTTCTGAATAAAGGTATGAGATGAATGAGAAGTACAGTTTGGGGACTGGGTATTTGGCAAGTCCTTATTTTCAGATAACTTTCTAAAGTTCCATTACTAATCTGTACTATTGGGAGTAAAATGTGCAAGTGCCACAGCCCTCCTCTCTGTTACACTGACTGTGATACTCTGCACACCCGTCCGTGCTCATGCACATATGTGCCGGGCTGCTAGGCTGGTGGTGTTAAGATCACCATGAAGTTATACTATATATATATCTTGTACTCTTTCAAGCATTTTGGAGAAGTTTCCATATTTGGGTATCAAATTTTCACATTCCTTATATAAATCTGCCATAATTTACTTCTTGCCCTATTGTAGACCCATAGGTTGCTCTGATCTTTAACTACAGTATTACAGGCAGTCCTGCAAAATACACGGGTTTTGGTGCATAGGTGTGACTGTTTCTACAAGACAGTTTATAAAGGCATAAACTGGGTCAAGGAACATGTCTGTTTAAAGTACGGACAGCCCTGGCCGGTGTGGCGCAGTTGGTTGGGCATAATCCAGTGCACTGAGAGGTCGCTGGGTGGATTCTGGTCAGAGCACATGCTCTGGCTGTGGACTCGGAGTGCAGGAAGAGCCAATCGGTGTTTCCCCTCTCACATGTTTCTCTCTTTTTAAAAATCAGTAAGAAAATAAATATTTAAAAATAAATAAAATGTGGCTAGATACTGCTGAATTAATCTCTAAAGGGCTGTGCCAATTTCTACTCTGATTAACAGTGAGGGAGCACGGGGCCAACGTTAGGGAGGCCTCGTCCTTGCCCCAGGCGAACAAGTACAGTTTATTCTTTTGCTCCTCTGAATGCTACAAAGTAGTGTATCTCTTGTACTTGCATTCCCTTATCTAAAGGGGAAGTGAGCAAGTTTTCATATATTTGTTGGTTTCTTTCATTGTTATCTCGTTTTGTTGTTGTTGTTATATGCAGCCAATCTGGAATGCAACAGCCATAATTTTTTAAATTGTGTGATTCTGATTTTCAATATCTTTTTGGAACCAGTATATGCTTTGCTTCCAACTAAATGTTTGCTTTTGTCCCTCTCTTATTGGTAAGTTTGTTGATGTTTTTTGGATCCTGTCACTTTTCATATTAAGCATTTTAGAATCAACAGGATTTGTTATTGGGTCTTCAGTTTAAGGTGGGAAATACACTGATACCAGGAGAAGTGCCTCTCATTCTCTCCACCTGGTGTAGAACCAGAACCAGAACCAGAACCAGAGATTGTCATTGCACACTGGCCTTGAGCAAAGTTACCTGCACTGGAATCCTAGTCAGGATTCATAGTGGTCCGCCTTGAACTTTTAAAGCATGTTTTTAAACTGTATGTACAATAAGAATGATAGTGCTTTTATTATAACCCTGGGGAAGCCATTCAAACTTATTTTCATATAAGCATTCAAACTTCAGCTTCGGACTGAACAAACAAGATAAACAGTTTGCACTGTTTGCTTATGTGTAACAATGGTTGACCATATCTCTGGCAGCCAGAGCAGGAGACAGGCCACCAAGGGCTGACGTCAGAGGAACTAATCAGAGTGCTGAGTGCTCAGAACACGTGACGTGGCCGGCCAGACGGGGCATGTAACCAAGGCTGGGAAGGAGGCGCCCTGGGCCCGAGCACAGGCCTCTCCTAAAGCGTCAGACACCCTGGGCTGCAGCGCATGCCTGGTCCTCACTTCCCTCTGTAACTGGTCCAGTGTGGGCAGCAGTGTTCAGAGAAGTCGGCAAACCTGCTTTACCTGTTTCTGTCTCGCTTATCGTTCTTGGGAAGCCCTGTTCTTTCCAGTAGATACCTTGTTTCACATACAGGCTGGCCTGCTGAATCCTGTATCCGCCCGCACTCAGTCACTGACTTCCCTCTGTGCGTCCACATGTGACTGTGGCGCTCTCAGTGCCTCGGCCTGGTGGAAGGAGTTAAGGGAGAAGCAGGAAGGGAATAATCGTTTCAGGACATGGTGATCATACAATAGACAGGCCCTTGAGAGAGGAAAGGCTACAGCTCTGTCTTTTTACGTGACCTTTGGCTGATTCCTGAAGCACGCTGGCCTCATACTCCTTGTCCTTAAAGGAGAACATTGTAGTCTTAAAATAGATCCGGAGACATAGGACCACGAACACACTGATGATTTCAGAGGGAAGGGAGGTGGGGGAGGAGGGATTAACCAGGTTACTTACATGCACAGCCCATGGACACAGCCCAGAGTGTGGCAAAGGCTTGGGAGGGGCAGGTTCGAAGGGGGGTGGTAGGGCTTTGATGCGGGAAGAGGGGCAAAGAGGACATCTGTAATACTCAACAATGAAGATTAAAAATGTTAAGTCCCTTTCCCTCTGTGCCTCTGTTCAGTGCTCTAGCTCCGTGGTCTGCAAACTGCGGCTCGCGATCCACATGCGGCTCTTTGGCCCCTTGAGTGTGGCTCTTCCACAAAATACCACGGCCTGGGCAAGTCTTTGCTGAAGAAGTGGCATTAGAAGAAGTTTAAGTTTAAAAAATTTGGCTCTCCAAAGAAATTTCAATCTTTGTACTGTTGATATTTGGCTCTCTTCGCTAATGACTGGTCTAGCTCATCGTGGGCTTGTTTTTTATGGCTGTGGCAGGAGAGCCAGCATAGCAGTGAGTCAGGTTAACCCACCTAGGCCCATCTGTGAAATGGGCTTCCTAGCTCCTAGCTTGTCATGAGGATTTGATTAGATAGCCCAGCTAACTCTATCTGGCCCCTGCTGAGCACTGGGGAAACCCCTTCCTTAACTCCATGCAGATGTCATCAGGCCTTCATAGTGGGCGGACAGCTCTGTGAGCTCCAGCTGAGAGCTGTTCTGACCAGGCCGATGTTCTTAGCACCCAGTGGCCATGACCTGGCAGACTAGGGGGTGGGGGGTGAGAGGAGACTGTGGTGCACCCTCAGCTTTCTCCTGGGCATGTCTGCCCCTCCCCCAGGCCCCCCTTCCTGGGGGAGGGGCAGACATGCCCAGGAGAAAGCTGAGGGTGCGCCACAGTCTCCTCTCACCTGTTCACGCTTAACTTGAAAACCGCTGTGAGCAGCAGGATGCGTCAGCCCAGAGAGGTGCTGAACAGGCGCAGGCTCCTCCGCTTAGGCCTCCACTGAGGGGCGTTGGCTGTGCGCACCAGGCACTGGAAGACCTTGGAAATGTCAGAAACACTAAGCGAGAACCAGCCTTCGCTCTACAAGGAGTTGTTTGGCATTTGCCTTGAATTCCGCTACATTTACAGATAGCACTGAGGACAGTTGTGAACTACGCTGTCTCCATCGTTCGCACAAAGGTTGCAGTTCAGATCCGGAGGAAATGTGTGTAATAAAACACTTTGACAAAACGTTCCCTTCTCTTTGTATGGGATAGCAGAAAAACACAGCCTTTTGTTGCTTATGACAACATACAGGCTGTGGCAAAAGTAGGTTTATAGGTGTTCGTATGAAAAAGCCAGAGTCTCCAGTAACATTCAGCCCCGGGCCCTCGAACTGAGAAGGCTCTTGATAGGTGTGTGAAGGGGAGGCTGGAGGTGGCCTGTTAGATCCTGTACATTCCACAGATAAGGCCGGCCCCGACCGGCTCCGGAGAGAACCTGAGCCCGCCCGCCCTGCCTCCCTGTTCACTGGGGGTTTGCGCAACCCCAGATAGGGGTGCTGGCAGCGAGTACGGTGGGGCCTCGAACCACACAGCGTGAGTTCATCTGGAGGAGCCGGAAGCTGAGTGAGGTCAGCCATGTAGGTGTTCCATGCCCTTGACACTGACCCCGATAAAACCTGCACAGGAAGTCTTAGGGGAGTTTCTCTGGTCCACAAGTGTCCACGTGTGCTGCCCACGCGCTCCCAGGACAGCTGGCAGCTGGCGTCATGTCTCCTGGCTCTCCCCTCGGTGCCTGCCACATTGGCGGGTTTTAAACTGTTTTTTGCAATAATAAATTGTGACCATTTTTCTGAGTCCTGTGTGTCACTGAATCCCAACACAACATGGTTAAATGGTTATGTTTAAAAGTGCAGTAGAGACCCATAGGTGTCCTTCGAAGCCTAATGATTGGCCATCTGGCTAAACTACAGAAAAAGTTGACCAACTAACACAGAAATGTAGCAGATAAAGCCCCTTTTTAATGTCATACATTGAAATCGTAACAGTTAAAATGGATGAGTATCCATATAAATAAATCTCAAACTGTTTTAAATGAAAAAAGTAACACAAGGATAATACTGCTTCTGTGCATTTGTGAAACAAAGATCCCATCAAGAGGATATCCCCAAACCTCAGGAGAGTGGTGAGTTGGGTTGGAGGTGTTGGGGGGTGGGGCGTGGAACGGGTGGTAAGACTATTTGTCCCATTGTCATTCTTAAAAAGTTTTGAGTGGGGGGAGGAAATCAGACTTGTAAAGTAAATAACATTGGTTTTATTTTACTAATGTCTTTCATTTACTTCCTTAAATCAGCCAGCTCAGAATTATAAATGATTGTGCTAAAGGCCTCACTGCTTCAAACTGCTCATGTTCTGAGTTCAGAAACTGGCCTTGGTCGGTGACCTGCCCAGGGTCGTGCTGGGCCTGTGGGTGAGAGGCCCCGTTGTAGACAGTGTCAGTGCTGGCCGATCCGCCCTCCCCCGCCCGCTGTGCAAACTCAGAAGCTGATTCTGGAAACAACTAATGGCTGTGCTTAGGACCTGTCCAGTTATCTCAGTTTTGTGAATCTGCAAATTGAAGGCCATCGAGAGAGTGGGGAGTCGGAAAGGAAGGGAAGCTTTCCGAGAACAGAAAAGCATTGCTTCTCCGCGGTTAGTGGCCGCCTGCGTGCCGCTCGTTCGCTGCAGGTGTGCACGGGAAGCAATACGCTGAGCTTGTCTTCGGGAAAATCCTCTGCTCTTCGTAGCAGTTATAGAGGCCATCCAGGTTTAGTGTCCACTCTCATCTGGAAATGTTAAAGGTGTGAAATATAAGTAGTGTTAGGGTCTTAAGTGATTAAAGTGTGGGGTTTTTTTTTAAATGATTTGTAAACCATTAGGGTAGAAGTACTAGACCTACACTGAATTCATAATTCTGGTATAAAATTTAACGACACGTTTTCTATCTACATTCCGGAGTCACTGGGAGAGTGAAATGAGATAATAAACTTTTTTTTTTAAAGGTCTTCATAAATGTTAAATACTATGTAAACGAGTTTTATTTAAAACATTATTACCACCCTCCTGACTGTGATGACACTCACATGGGCTAAACAGAATTGTGAAGAGAGAATACCTCGTGCTCTGGTTCCTGAGACCAAACCTGAGTTGTGTCAACTCTAAAGAAGGCGGTATGGCCGAAACCGGTTTGGCTCGGTGGATAGAGTGTCGGCCTGCGGACTGAAAGGTCCCAGGTTCAATTCCGGTCAAGGGCATGTACCTTGGTTGCGGGCACATCCCCAATAGGGGGTGTGCAAGAGGCAGCTGATAGATGTTTCTCTCATCGATGTTTCTAACTATCCCTCTCTTCCTCTGTAAAAAAATCGGGGGGAAAAGGGTATGGCATCCATCTAGTTTTTTTTCATGTAGTCTGTCAGGTTAAAGGAGAGGAGAAGAATAGGACAGTTTCTGCCCTCCCCCCTTTCAGTTCAACATTTATTGAGCAGCTACTCTGTTAGGTGGAGGTGAGCAAAGTGAGTGTATTCATTGTGCTCACATTTGCCTGACAATCTATTCTCCTTATTCAATGGAAACCGAGGCTTTGGGTCAGTTAAGTAACTAAAAACCTGTTTGGTCCAGAGCTAGCGTTGGAACCTGCTATTTGTAGCTTCAAATCGTATGCTTCCCAGAGCAACTGACAGCACAAGAGAGCCAGGATCTGAGAGTTAAACGTGTAAAGAGAATGCAGGAGGTCAGGGAAGGAAGGTACTGGTGTGGGCTGGACCCGGGCAGGCAGGAAATGCAGGAGGCCGGGGGTGTGGGTGGCGGGGGTTGATTCTTTAGGTGAGGACCAGGGTGTGAGCAGGGGAAGGGCTTAGGAGGGCTGTCTGCTGGCTCCCTGCCTCGCTCATCAGTGTGTGTCTTGGGGAGGAGAGCACCCCTGGCTGGGCCGCTGCAGTCATGGGCCGGGGGGGGCCTGGGACCCCGTGGGGAGCTGCTGCAGAAACCTGGGAGTGAGGGGAACTCAAGAACAAGGCCAACAAGTCGGGGATCAAGCTGATGGCATAAAATCCACATCTTTGTAAACTACATCAGAACCGTTAAGTGCTCTGTGGGTAGCAACTTGAGTTTTTAAACTCTTTGAAGCAGGCATTGGGGTGCAACACCAGGACAGGTTCTGCAGACCTGGCTCTGCCTTGTCCCTTCACACAGTTCACTGATGCTGTACATGCATTTGTGTGAATAGGTTGAGCCTTAGTCACCACAGCTGTCTGCCTTTAGGGCTGTGGGTGTAAAGGAATCGATGCACAAAGACTTTGAAAAAGATAAAGTTCAGTGTAAGTTGTGACAAGTGTCATTTCCAGCCTGCACAGCACCGTTACTGCGGCAGAGATTGTAATGGGGAGTTCATCGTGACTCGCTCCAATACAGTTTTAAAGAGTATAAAACAGGTATTTATGTGTGTGTGTTTTTATTTCTATCGGCAGTGAAATAAAGAGAATAAATCACATCCTGTAGCCAGACTTTCCTAATAAACATAACTGGAGCCAGGGGAGCCTCGTTTTGTACATTTGCACACTGTAACTTGAATGTTCATGTTTTAATGAGGTAAATAAAGTGTCCATTTCCCTGCCTGCACAGTCTCTGCCGGTCACCGCGCTCAGGAGGGCATGGGCTTACCAGACCAGTTTGTCCCTTCGCCTTCAGGGCGTCCCTCGTGGCAGCAGCGGCTTGCGCAGCAGCGCTGGCAACATTTAACCCACGTCTCGCCCGCTGGTTTTGTGAGATTGGTCCGGATTGTAAAAGCAATGCCCAGGCTTTTCCTGGCCCGGACTGCTGAGACGCACTGTCCTGAGGGGAATGAGGCGATGACAGCTTCCAGCTGAGGATGAGGCACAAACTCCTCCACGCAGACAGTCACTGAATTACCTACAGTGGAACTTGCTCTTTAAAAATCTTACTAATGCCCAGTCTGCAGGGCTCAGCTACGTCCCCAGTTTTCTCTGGTAGAGAGTGATGCACCACCTGAAGGCCACTAGCCTCAAAACTCCCATCTGGCCATCCCTAACAGATTTTCTCCACAAAGTTCTGCAGGCAATCCTAACAGGAAGGAAGCTCCTCCTGGCTTTTGGTTTCAATGGGTTTCCTTGTGATCTTTTCCTGACAGTCCCCCTTATGCCCCCTTACGGCTTCTAGGTCGTCATGTCACTCCTCTGTCAGCAGCCCCTCCACCACAATGGTTTATTTACTGCAGTGTTTGCCAAACTTCTCGTGATGAGAATCACCTGGTGGAGTTGTTAAAATACAGATTCCTAAATCCCAACTAAGAAGTGCTAGACCAGAATTTTTGGGAACATTTACGTAAAATTGTATACTTAGTGCTCTGTCTTACCTGTTTGTTCCCCATTTTACCTATATGTTCCAAAAAATTCTAGGCTGGCCGGCGGGGAGGCCGTGGCAGGACGGACGTGAAGAGCTTGGCGGGCGCCCCAGCCGGCCAGCCTGTTTGTGTCCCTGGCTTCCTCCCGCCCTCTGGCCATGGCCGGTGACTCCCCCCCAGCAGCCAGCCGGGCTGGCGGGTTCTGGGCCCCGATGGAGGGAGGGGGACGGGGCGACGAGCCCTCGGAATCCCTGCCCTTGGGGTTCCCCCAGAAGATGCCTGCTTCTGCCCATGTGGAGCGGAGAAAACTGCTCATGGCTGGCGCGTGCCCCCCACCCTGCACCTGCCTCCTGGCCAAGCCCTGTCTCAGGCACCCCCTCAGCCACATGGCTGTGGCCTCACTCTGCTGTGGTGGTTCATCCTCACCCAGGTATGCTTTTTCCATTGATATTAAGAGAGAGTGGGAGACAGACGGAGAGAGAAACCAATGTGAGGTTGGTGGCCTCCCTCATGCGCCCTGGCCTCAGTCTGTGAAGCAACTGCGAGCTATTTCTGTGTTCAGGTGAGCCCTGCCCTCTGCTCATGGACACCCAGATGCCCATGCCTTTTGAAGTTTTTCTTTTTTTCCTCTGAACATCTAAATCGGTGGGTCTCAACCTTCCTAATGCCGCGACCCTTTAATACAGCTTGTGGTGGTGACCCCCAACCATAAAATTAATTTCATCTCCCAGGTTGAGAACCGCTAGCAGGGTCGCCTAAGACCATCGGAAAACACAGATTTTTACATTACGACTCATTAACAGCAGCGAAATGACAGTTGCGAAGTAGCAACGGAAATAACCTTATGGTTGGGGATGGCCACCCCGTGAGGAGCTGTGTTAAACGGCCGGGGCATCAGGAAGGCGGAGAACCGCTGGTCCAAATAGTGCTGTGGACACGGGGCCACAAAACTAACGTCCCGCCCTCTCTCCCGCCGCCTCACCGCAGGCGCATCCAGGTGGTCCTCCTGGCTGTTCCTCCTGTGATTGGGACCCCCGTTTTTTCATGCACCGGGACTCCTCCTGGTAGTTGGCTTACACTCAATCTATTGCCACTTACACATTTATTAATTTTCCTCTAAACTAATCACAAACAGGTGGCCTGACCGGCGTGGCTCAACAGTTGAGCATCAACCAAGGAACCAGGAGGTCAGGGTTGGATTCCGGTCAGGGCACATGCCCAGGTTGCGGGCTCCATCCCCAGTGTGGGGCGTGCAAGAGGCAGCCGATCCATGATTCTCTCTCACCCTGGATGTCTCCATCTCTCTCCCCCTCGTCCTTCCTCCCTCTCTGAAATCAATAAACATGTATTTTAAACACAGACAACTGACCAAAATGTAAAGCCTCACACACAGATGGCCTCGGGCATTCACACCCTCAGTGAGATCCCTGTTTCTACTGTCAGAGGCTAACATCACTTCTGGATGCTCCGAACGCCTCAGAAACACGGGAATGTTCACTGTGCCCATAGCCAAGCTCGTCTGTAAAAGTCGTAACTGTTGTTCTGGTTAACTTGTTACCCCACAGAACATGTCTGCACACCCCAGGGCTGCGGTATCAGAGCCCGGGCCCCTGGGAAGCACAGCCTCTGTGAAGGCGCTGGGTTCTCGTGAGAACAGAGTCCGTCACGGTGACTGACGCCCTGGCAATTGCTGGTGGGGCTCCCTCTCTCAGAACAGGCTCACCTGCTGTGTCCACAGCACGGAGAGGCGGGTTCTCGCGACCTTTACCTCTTTGTCCTGTAAGTCCCTGGCACACGATGTTCTGCCTCAGTTTACAATTAACTTCACTATGCCTCATTAGCATTCCGTTTCAATTAGCAGCACCATATGGCAGGTTAATCAACCGGCCATTCTCCCAGGACATTTGGCTAACGCATTAACTCGAAAAACCCATGACGACAGTCAGGTGTCTCCCCACCCGCTTATGTCTTGTCCTGCCCCCTCCTGGTGTAGGTGTGGGTCCTCCTCTGGCTGGAAATCTCTGTCGCACTCACAGTCCGCTTCTCTGCTCTTCTCACTTCGCAGAGACACGGCATTCCATGAACAGACACACATGGAGCTCCCAGGAATAAACAGAACCCCATGTCCGCCAAACTTCCCTGCTTCCCAAAAGACCTGATGTCCACCCTTTGAATCACAGCTAGCATTGTAATTGCACATTTATTTTTTTAAATACATCTTTATTGCTTTCAGAGAGGAAGGGAGAGGGAGAGAAACATCAATGATGCGAGAGAAACATTGATTGGCTGCCTCCTGCACGCCCCCTACTGGGGGTTGAGCCCACAACCTGGGCACGTGCCCTGACCGGGAATGGAACCATGACCTCCTGGTTCATGGGTTGATGCTCAACCACTGAGCAATGCCGACTGGGATATACACACACACACACACACACATGTATATATATATATATATATCCCTGCGCATGAATCTGAATCTGTGAGAGCTGCCTGCTTGTAGCTCGCTGCCCCACCTCCTGTTGATCTGTGATCCGGTGGTTATGCGGTTGGTCGCTACGCTTCACCGCGTAATGACCATTTGCATGTTACATCTTTATTATGTAGGATATTTTCTTCTTTCATACAATGTCAA